GAGAGAGAGAGAGAAGAATATGAGCAGATTATTCGCTAAAAAATGCAAAATGCAAACAATCATTTGAAAAATGTTAAACCTCACAGGCAACCACAGAAGTGCAAGTTAAAACAGTGAGATAAAACTTTCACCTATTAATCAGAAAAGTTTCTTTTTTATGTTGCTACTTAGTGCAGACAATGATTCCAGGAAATGTGTACAATCAGTATTGGCATACGCTTTCTGAAAACTGATTTAGCCACATTTACCAACGGCCACATATGTTATCTATGTTGACTGAATTTCACCTGTAAGAATTTATTCCAGGTCAACAGCGGAAATGCAGGGCTGTGAGGCTGGAGATTTCTGTGTTGATGAAACTCTGCATCTCAGTATCAATAACTGGTTAAGTAAATTCAGCCTACACCCCTATCATCTGTTTACTATGCAGGCACTGAAAATAATGTTATGTAGTGAAATTGCTTCATAATAAACAGGACTACATTACTTCATAGAAAATAGACTTACAGAGAAAAGGGGCAGCAAATTGACATTTAACAATTTCCTCCCATTCCAAAGAGAATCAGAGTTATATATGAAATAACCAAACATGGATGAGGCAGAGGGAAAAGCAGCACATGGAGGGTCAGGCCGTGAGTGAGCCAGGCTCAGGGATCCCTAACCCACGTGCCAGGCCGTGAGTGAGCCAGGCTCAGGGATCCCTAACCCACGTGCCAGGTCGTAAGTGAGTTGGGCTTAGAATCCATAAACCCAGAGATGCAGACACCCAGCTCAGTCAGATGGAGTATTAACCCCATGAGATGCAGATGCCCAGCTCAGTCAGAGGGAGCATCAACCCTACATGCAACAGGACCCAGAGATGCAGATACTCAGCTCACTCAGATGGAGCATCAACCTCATGCACAACAAGACCCAGGGAGGCAGACACACCACTCACTCAGATGGAGCAGAAGCTGCTGAAGGCTGTTTTGACCCAGACTGGAGCAGAAGGTGATAGCCCTGAGACTTACAGAGCAGACCCTGTGGCCACATGCTTGGACTTAGGTCTCTGCTTGGCTGCCTGAAGGCTGCAGGGGGCTCCTTCCCTGTCCTCAGGTTCTTTCAGGGCCTGTGCCAGTGTCTGTGCCAGTCAGCGCCTCCCCTGGCATAGGTCTTGTGCAGTTTCTAATGACAGCATGATTTGAAGACTATAGTAGCCACAGCTTTTCCAAAAGTGAGGAAAGATCAAACTGGACAGGCTGCTGTGAAACTGCAACAACAGGGGAAGAGGAGCTAGAGAGCTGACCAGGCTAACGAGGACGCTTGCTGTCAACTGTTCCAGCCCCACTTGGAACCAGCTGCCACCAAGGTGCAGCACCCACAGCCTGCCTGGGTCTCCCTACCCCGTCGTGCCCTCCCATGCAGTGACCAGGGCTTGGAGACACCTTCATACCACCCCGGGACTGGGCAGTGCCACCCCCTGGGTCCTCTGCTCTGCCCTGACTCGCTCCCTTCCTGCCTCCGAGAACCCTGCACGTGGAGCCCAGCCTCGTCCTCCCTGGGACCCGACTTGCTGGTGTGGTCGAACTCTGAGGCCTGCCTGCCTCCTACCAAGCACCTGATCCCCTAAAGGGAAGCAAACAGCAATCCTGTTCCCTCTGCAGATGAGGGGCTCAGGGCAGCTCCATGCCTTGTCTCCTCACCAAGGGCAAGATTGCGAACAGAGCCCTGACCACCCCCTCCACTCTCCCTCTGGCCCAGTCTGTCAGTGCCTCCCACTTTCCCTGTGTCCATTCTCCATGTGGCAGCAGAGCCACAAGCTGAAAGTCATGAGCTGAACGCACAGGTAGTCCTGGCCTGTTTCCTGTGCAGACCCCGGAGGACGGCCATGTCGCTCAGGAGCTGGCGCTTCTGCAGGGCTGGGTCCTGTGTGGTGCCCACCCCCATCTCGCTGCACTCATGTCCTGCTGGGATTGCCCAGTGTCCTTCTGTCCTGAACAGGCCACAGGGCCCCACCTCAGGACCTTCCCAGTGGCTGTTTCCCTGCCTGGGAGACCCCGATCTCTGTAGGGTCCCCTCTTCCTCTCATTTGCCTCAAATGCAAGCGCCTGTCAGCTGTGAAACGGTCCTGCTGCTGTGCCACTCTCCATAGTGCCATGATCTTCCAGCATGCACCGAGCCAGCACCATTTAGATGACTCTGATGACTTAGATGTTCAGTAACTTCCTCCTCCCTACGTGGGTCTGTGACAGGATGTGAGCCCAGGGCTCCGTGTCCATGCAGCCACAAACCCGGCACGCAGGTCCAGGAGGCTTCCCCGATGGACTCAGGCCCTGTGTGTGGTCCCACGGCTGCTGGGAGGGCTGCATGCAGCCCTGGGGGCCTACCGGAGGGGATGCCTGCGAACCTGTGCCTGGTCTCTCCTGGGCTTCATCCCCTGTGCTGATTTTAATCCACAGCCTTTCACTGTGGTACCCACAGCCCTGACTGTGAGCACTGCTCTGAGTCTGGCAGTCTCTCCAGGGCGTCATCCTGGGGTGGTCCTGGGGACCCCTGACTCTCTTCACACTCTTGAAATCAGAACACATTTTATAATAACCATTCATTCAATATGAGAGGGTTTTGGTAACTTCTCTTTACTCTTTAGATGAGGACATCTATTAGCATGGCTAGTCACTGGTTCTCATCACTTCAGTACAGAGAGGAAGGCTGCCCTGAAAATGTGTTCTAACATGGTGAAAGAAGGGTGCTCCACCAAAGTCCAGACAAGGAAGCCTCTGATGCTTGGGCCTGACCAATACGTCTCTGATGGCAACTCCCACCTGTCTTCAAGCATTCCACTGAAGTTCCTTATCCTGAATTCCAACCTCACTTTTTTTTTTTTTTTTTAACAATTCACATATTATTTTGTAAAGAGAGAGAATGTGTTAACATTTCCTTGCCACTTTATTTCTCACAGAAGCTAGACATTCAGGCTGCACATTGCTTTCTGATTTGACATGCATTATCTGTGCAAGTGGACTTTCTTCTACTGGTAATGACACAATTGCATTTGTTTGTAAAATTCAGCACCAGATGCTGCAGCAAAGGGACCTGCCAGCCACAGGTGGAGTGCAGTTCCAGGTGCTCCTGTTTCAAGTTACAGTAAGATACAAAACAAATACCATTTTTTGAAAAAACAAAAACAAACAAAAAAAAAACACTACATGCTATTAATGATCTACTTTATTGCATAGCTAAATGTAAGGTGTAGCAGGTTTGGAATGTGAAAAATATATTTTTATAACAAACTCTTCCTTTCCTGTACTTTATGAGTAAAAACATTTGTTCCACTTAAACAGATGAAGACCTCCAGTGAGTCATCCACATTTATGGAGCCAGTGCTCTGTGTGACTTCCAGCACATCTAAGTGGGATTGCATCTGTGCTTTTGTGAATTACCCAACTGCTGACCATTTTCGCCTCTATGACTTTCCCTGACATGAAGACAACATATCAAGACAATTGTTAACAATGCATTTGAAGGCAATGAATATAAACTTACTACACAGTTAAAAATAGTGAAGGTTGTTTTTATGAAAACAAAATATAACGGTTCCAAAACACAGACATATATACTCTGAGTGGAAACCAAAGAACACACGTCATGGTTTCACAATGACACGTCATCAGCATTAAATTCATGCAAAACTAGCAACACTGTTACACTGTTTTATCACAGTCAAACTGAGATTCAATCACATGGCCCCATATTGAGTTAAGCCCAAATAACGTATGGATGATGTATTAGTCCGTTCTCACACTGCTGTAAAGGTACTATCTGAGACCTGATAATTTATAAACAAGAGGTTTAATTGATGCAGTTCCACATGGGAGGGAGGCCTCAGGAAACTTACAATCATGGCAGAGGGCAAAGCAGAAGTAAGCACCTTCTTCACAAGGCGGCAGGAGAGACAGTGAGAGCAAGGGCCATTTTAAAAACCATCAGATCTTGTGAGAACTCCCTCATGATCAGGAGAACAGCATGGGGGAAACCACCCCCATGATCCAATGACCTCCACCAGGTCCCTCCCTCGACACATGGGGATCACAGATTTGGGTGGGGACACAGAGCCAAACCATATCAGATGAAAATGTGACATTAAAAATGTACAGTCTCTAAAATCTCCCTGGTTTATTTTGTGTTAGCTAAGTCAAATATCCACACAGAGGCCCTGGACAATGCCGGGGGAGGACAAGTCGCCTTAATCATCTTCCTGTCCCACTTGTCAGCCACAAAGGCCTGAGAGGGGCACAGGCCTGGCTGGCAATCTCTGCACCTCATTTTCTTCCAAGTTTGTCTACTCAAAGTTAACTGTGCCAATTACATTTTGACTTGGTAACTTTCAGAAATGCACAATTAGGCATGCTATCAGATAAGACGCACAATGAGCATTCCCTTACTGAACACCTATTTTTAAATATCTGGGTCTCTAACCACCTGTCACTTTCAAACTACAGGTCCAGATTTGACAGGAACCAAAAGCTACCGGGCAGGAGCTACTTTATAAAGTGGATATTGCAAAGTAACAGTATGCCTGCCCTAACAGAGCTGAGAGCACTGTGTTCCCAAGCACCTGAACCAACAGGACACCGTGACACTCAGGAAAGACGCTCTCCGTGGAGTGCTGACTGCAGGACTTCCACTCTGTTTTCAGTCAAGCAGCCCATAACTTTGTTAGAGAGGACCTAGCCTCTTGGGAATTGGTTCATCAAACCAAGATACAACATCTTTTCCAAGAGCTTCCTTCCAAGGTCTCTCTGCCCCAGCACTGCTGACATTTCATGTCAAGTCACATGAGTGGTGTGGCTGGCCCAGGCACACAGGATGTTTTGCATGATCCCTGGGCTCCACAGGAGAGGCCAGGAGCCCCACCCCCTCCAGTGACAACCAAAAGTGTCTCCAAACTTTGCCCCATGTCCTGGAAGGCAAAAACAACTTCTACTGAGGACCGCTGCATGCACTAGAAAACACAGCAAGAGGAGAGCATGGTGCCCATGCGCAGGGTGGCACTGTTTATTACTGAATTTCATATTTAATATTGTGAACAGGCTATAATGAGTACCAGTTACACAGATGACATGGACTTCTTCAAATCAAACTCCCAGTTGTAAAGCTCTGTAGGGACCGTTCCCATGGCCTGACTACAAAGATCAGACGCCTGAAGACGCATGTCCTGATGGATACATTCAGTGCTCGCTGAAAAGTCGACTTCAGTGTGTGCCTATCACTGCGGATGTTAAAATAAAACAACCATTTTTCAAACCACGGGTCAGGTGGAAGGATGCCCATGCCACGTGCAGTTTAGCCCTTGGAGCAGCCGGGGTGGAGTGAGGACGCAAACTCCAAGCAGCTGCTGCCTCTCAGTCTTCTTTCCTTCTCCTTTTCTTCTCCTTTCTTCTCTCTTGTTCGTTCTTCAGATCAGTCATCACATTTAACGTCTTCCGTACCCACATAATCTAAACACAATTGTTTGGAACACGTTTAGATGTGGAAAAGATATACATGAAGAAAGCCCATGAGAGTCTGTCTGTACGTACCACAATGATCATGGCATTCAGCAGCAGTGGGGCTGAAAATACTATAGAAATGAACATGCCCCTGGAGTCGAAATACTGGTATTTTGAAAATAATCTGTTTAAAAAAACAAAAAACATTACTAGGCAATACAACAAAAAAAGTTATAGTGACACTGTCTATTTTACTTAGACTTTGGAGAAACCTGCTGTGGACTGAGGCAGAAGCAACCCCCTCACTGAGCCTACCCTTGGGAGCAGCCATCATCTCCACTGTGCTGTCCCAAATGCAATGCCCATAAAGAAAACACACTGGGTCACAGGACAGGGAGACACCACCCTGCAGCACGGGAAAGGCCCTGAGGCCTCCCAAGCCAGGGAGATGCCACCCTGTAGCACGGGGAAGACCCTGAAGTCTCCCAGGCAGGGAGATGCCACCCTGTAGCACGGGGAAGACCCCAGAGTCTCCCAGGCAGGGAGACCCCACCCTGTAGCACAGGGAAGACCCCAGAGTCTCCCAGGCAGGGAGACCCACCCTGTAGCACGGGGAAGACCCCGAAGTCTCCCAGGCAGGGAGACCCCACCCTGTAGCACGGGGAAGACCCCAGAGTCTCCCAGGCAGGGAGACCCCACCCTGTAGCATGGGGAAGACCCTGAGGCCTCCTACGGCAGGGGGACCCCAGCCTGTAGCACGGGGAAGACCCCAGAGTCTCCCAGGCAGGAAGACCCCACCCTGTAGCATGGGGAAGACCCCGAGGCCTCCCAGGCAGGGAGATGACACCCAGCAGCCCCTCTGGGTCAGCAGCACGTCTGACCTCAGCTGGAAGACATTGATGACCTGAAATCCTTAGAACCTATAAAGTAACATCAATAATCCCCGTAAATGAGGAGGGAGAGCAGCTGTGTCCACTCCACAGCCGCACTGGGACCCTCCCATCCCTGTGGCTCTCACAGCAGCCGTCCTGCTGCCAGCACCAGCGCCTTTAGGAGAAGAGAGTGAGGAAACGTGAAGGCTGTGGGGGGTGAGGGGGCCTGGTGGACTCACAGGCACAGCTATGAACGGCTGGGACAGAGCTAGCAGGAGGCCACAGGGCACCACTGCATGACTCCGTGTTTGCTCGGAGTGACCTGGGGACACTTGGAACATTCTGAGGGGCAGTGCCCAGCTGAGGCCTATGCCTCCTCAGGACATGCGAGAGGCTGAGCAGTATGGGGATGGCTTAGGGATTGCATGTCAGCAGCAGGTTGGCAGAGCTGGGGTGAAGGGCTCGGAACACAGTGGGCTCATGGCTGGCCTTAAAGGTGGAGGGACAGCACTTCCTGAACGACATGCTGTGACGTCTCTGGTCTAAGAAGCTGAGGGAGAAGACGCCTCTATAACGAAGGGGGAGCAGAGCAGTTGGCCTGAAGTGTGAATTTTGAGACATTTGTTAGACATCCTGGTGCCCAGTCCGGTGAGTGTGATAGGCAGGAAACCCAGCACTTCTATCAGGAGGTGTCGGAGAAGCACAAAGCCAGGAGGCTGAGGCCACAGGGAAGGGAGGAGCCAGGAAGGTGCGACACCCTGGAGCTGTGTGTGGGAGGGCTTCAGGGAGGAGGAGGGCACTGTGCCAGCCTCCGTACAAGGTCAGGGTCACTGAGGACTGAGCACCACTCCTGGGACTGAGCCATGTGAAGGCCCTGTATCCAGGAGAGGCGGGGTCCCCACGGGACCACTTACTGCTAAGAAGGGAGGAGGGAGGAGAAGGAAAGAGACAGCATGCTCCAGCTGCAGGGACGCTGTCCCGGAGATAAAGGCTGAGCAGGCAGGAGGCAGAGTCAGGGGAGGGTTTGGGAAACTGGGTGAGTCTAAGCAAAGGATTTCAGGGAGTGCTCTGCAACCCCTTTCAGTGAGGGCCCAGGGTCAGCGCTTAGGGCTTATGGGCCATGAGGCCACAGTTTCAGCTCCTTCCTGCTCAGTCTGGCAGTTTTATTTTTGCTTTATATTTTAAAATGTAAAAACCATTTTTACCTCACAGGCCATTCGAAAACAGTAAGGCCAGGTGGGTATTACCTGACAGGTTCACCCTAGGCAGGTGCTGGGTCCCAGTTCCCCGGGATGAGGCCAGGGATGGAGGAGGGGGCAGAGAATGCAGGGCCAGGTCTACCAGCAGCGGTGCCCCGACATCAGGACTTGGGGCTGGGGGTGAGACAGCAGGTGCCCCAGACCACCCAGAGCCCCGTGCTGGGGTCCAGACTCCCCATGGAGCAGCCGCCACAGTCCAAGGGGCAGGGCATGGCTAAGGCCAGCGTGGACCACCTTCTCTAAAACGCTGTTTCTATTCAGCAGCTCATATTCCCATGGCCACTTCTCTGGCTGTGCCGTCAGAGGCTTCCGCCAGCATCGCCCTGCAGCTCTGTGCTCAGAAAGGGCTGCTCTGGCATTGGTAAACCACTCACAGAGCTGCGCTGGAGCCCACACCCGCTGCACGCACAGGCACAGCGTGTGCGCGGTTGCTGTGTTAGGATTCACTGTCTCCTCCTAGAGTCTCCTGGCTGTGAGGGCGGTTTCCAGGGACACCCTTGCAGAGACCTGGTCACAGGCCCGGGGGCAGCTCACCTCCAGTTCATTGCAGCCACCTCATTGATGTATTCAGCACAGTAGACTAGGATTACTGAAGAAAGATATAATTCATGTTAGAATTTAGACGACCACTATTACTCGTTATAATATATACATTCTTTATAGCAGAAAACTGAATAGAAATGTCACTTTAATTTTAAACATAATGTCAGGTAAACATCCTAACACTGTCAAGTTATAGGACTCGCCCTTGTAGCAGAAAGAAAACCAAGGCCAACAGTACTCCAGTGCTCCAGCAATCTATGGCTCAGTCAGAGCCCAAGCTAAGCTCAGCTCAGCAGCTGCAGAGCCACGGCCGGAAGCGTCCTGAGGCCCCAGGCTGCACCCAGGCATGGCTGTGCCTCCTGCATTTCCCCAGGGACAGCAGCCACAGTTCAACCCCACAGGACACGGCAGCAGGAGCCGAGAGCCACAAGACCCAGAGCTGACAACCAAGGGCTTTTCACGCTTACATGTCCCAGGCTGCCCTGGGCTCTGCCACCAAGATGACCACAAGAGGGGAGCCAACAGCTTTGGGGGTGCTGGAGGCAAAGGCACAGGAGGGAGGGCAGCAGCTGGTGGGGGCAGGGCGAGGCCACTGTGCTCCCAGGAGCACACAGAGTTTAGAGGCTGGCCCAGGGTCTCCAGCTAATTCATGGATAATGCTGGTACTCAAACCCATGAGACAGTGATCCATGCTGCCATAAAATTAAATAAAATATAATTTGGCAAATTAAAAAAAATGTGATACTTTAACTTCTAAGGTAAATCAAAATGTAAAAATCCTTTCATTCTTCTTGATCCACATCCAAAAGCAGATTAAACTAGGGGTTAGGGTTAGGGTTAGGGTAGTGGTCCCTCCACTGCCTTCCTCCAGGAATGAACCCAATAAAGCAGAGCAAAGGAAGGCGCAGGGAAAGAACCAAAGGGGAGGGCAGGGCCTGGGAGGGGGAAGAGGAGGAGGAGGAGGAGGAAGAGGAGGAGGAGGAAAAAGGAGGAGGAGGAAGAGGAAGAAGAGGAAGAGGAGGAGGGCCAGAGAGCGACAGGGGGAGCAGGACGGCAGGGCACCTGAGAAGGGTGGGCTAACATAGGAAGTGGTGGGCACAGGAGGGGGTGGGGGGGTGGGGAGGGTGGGGAGGATGGTGGGCAGGGAGGGTGCCACCAGTTGCTTCTTCCCAGCTGTTTCTGAAATGCACCCTGGAGCGGAGTCTGAATCCTGAATCTTGATGGTGCTGATTATAAGCTGTGTAGCTGAGGGAGTCAGAGAACCTCTGTGTGTTTCATTTATAAAAATGGGCAAGCAAAATCCAACTCTAAGGTTGGTTTGAGATCACAGGAAATGCAACTGCAGGCAGCACCGTGTCTAGTATTGCCCGGGTGTGAAAGCAGTCACCCTTCCCCTTATCCTTGAAAACATCAAACCCCTGTGCAATTCTCCAGTTGAGAAAGCTGTTCAGATCCAGGAGCTCAGCTGGTGAAGCCGTCCCCTTTCTTTGAGGTGCCTGCCTCAGGCCCCTGCGTGGGGCATTTGCTCCCACTGCTGCCAGCGTCTTGCTGCCTGGATCCTGCCTATGCACCTTTTTGCCCTGAGGTCACACAGGAGGCTGCGTGATTTAAATCAGGCCACTCCTCCAGTTTCACTGTGTCTTTGGTTTTCCATTGCAACATCTGTCACTGTGATAATAACACAGGTCTGATGAATCTCTGGTGCTGTGTCCCCTAGGAAGCTGTGGGAGGCGAAGGAGCCCTGTCTCCCTGGACCACCCCAGTACTCCTCAGGGCACCCTTGATACAGAGCTCGCTCTGACCGCCTCACTTGCACAGGATATGCCAAAGCTCATCACTTCTCTAGTCTTTCTAAGATCAGCTCCTCAGATTTCCTGCTTTGCACACAGCCAGCTGACTAAACTTACCTAAAATTAGTAGTTGTTTTTAACTACCAAGCAAAATCTTCGGTGTCTCTCCAATGCCCAGAGTCAAGAGGAGCCTGCACCAGGCCTCCAGGCCTCCTCGCCTCTCCTATCCACGTGTTTGTAGTGCTTAGGTCCCGCAGGGCAGGCAGTTTCTCTGCCTCTGACCCATGCCTTCCATCCACCTCAGTCTCTGCACGTCACCTCGCAGGGCTGTCACCGGCGCCCTCTTTTTCTTATTAGCATCTTACTCACCCTTCACACCCTGTGCCACACTTCAGCTTTTCTGAATAATCTTCCTCAGTCAGCCTGTGCAACTCCCTAACTTCTCCAAGTTCTGGAGCCCTTATCCTTGAAGCCAAGTTGGGCAATGCCTTATTTTATGCACAGAATGTTTCTTTCCACAGTTTGCAATCTTCCTCCCATTCAAAGCAGAGCTGCCCTGAGGATGCATCTTGTGTAAACAATAGTACTTCCTAAACTCAGCTCTCCTGTGTGCAGCTGGTGCTCAGCGCCTCCCTGGTAGGCAACAGGAACTCAATAGATTCCTCTCAATTTTCACATCCAAAAGGAACTTTTCTTTATAGCTTCCAAGAGTGAAATATGGGAGTGCCCTAAGAGCATGCACATGACAGGGTTGGGAGGTCTGGTAAAAATATGTACGTATTTTGAAGACACAGACAGAACGTACAGTTTCATTTCACACAGTGATCTGAGTCGTGCAGTTGTGTTGTTTTACTCACCTAGGCACAAGAAGTGCCCGATCTGTAGTTTGTAGCTCCAGGAGGACAAGCAGGTGAGAAGCAGGCAGAGAGTGTGGAAGGCAGCCAGCCCCACAAGCCAGGGCTCAGTCCAGTCCGTCTGCTACAGGAACACACCAGCAGACACTCATTGTTCCGCCCTGCAGGGCGGGGCTCACGGCCCACCCACAGTCTTCCCCCAGGGAAAGGGGAAGCGGGCAGGGGGCAGAGATCTCTCACTCCTAAGTCTTCCTGGGGCCACTCACCAAGTATGGGGAGAGCACTGCCGGGCCTCACAGAAGCATGGTGACAGGAAAGGGAGAAGGAACGGGGAGGATGGAAGCAGGATTCTTCCCCCAGAGCAACTTTAATCCATGGAAGTCAAAGTTCAAGCACACAGAACTGAGGGCATCCCTGACATGCCCCTTTTGTTTGTGGAACAAAATCATGTTTTTAAACTGGGTATAATGAAAGGAATTACCGCCCCTAAAGCGTTGATAACTGGTGATGATGAGGAAATTAAGCGACTTCTTCAAAGAGATGCACTTGGCTCAGCCCCAAAGATAAAACACTGGTTATTTCAGGCTCCTTAGCACTGAAAGCCTTGGGGAATCTGAGCCACCACCACACGCACGACTTGATTTTCTCCAACCTCTCTGCGACACTCTGAACCCTCCAGACAGTGCTGCACTCTGCTGCCTCCTGGACTCCCCGGGACTCTGCCGTACCTGGGGGCAGCGTCTGGCTCCAGTACCTACAGTAGCCAAGCTCAGTTCCATTGCTGCCCAGTTCCCACCTGATGCTCAGATGCCAATCCCAGCAGTCCTCAACCCTCCCCATCCCCTCGCGCGCCCTTCTGCATGAGACAAGCCCTGCACTCCAAGCTGCAGCCCTACACAGCCCTCCAGGACTCCTACAAGTGTCGCAGCTCTCTGATGGAGACTACTGCGGCCTTTCCAGAGCGGCACCAGGAGACAAGGGCACAAGCGCATCTGCTCCCATCAATGCACCGACCAGAATGCCAGAGTCAGGGAGGTAAGGGGAGCACGGCTTTCTGCCCAGATCCCATCAAGTACCCACTCGGGTTGAGGGCTCCCCAGGGACCTGCCGGACACACTAGGCACGGCGCGGCCCCGCCCACGCAGTGGCAGGGTTCCTCCGCGCCACGTGACACTATTAGGCTCCACCACGCACGCCCCGCCAGACTGCCCAAGATCCGCCCACAGTACCCAAGCCCTCCCTGCAAGGCGCAGGACTCGCCCGCATGCACTTCCCACACGAACAAAGCCCTGCCCCCCGCGCCCCGCCCACACAACCCAGCCACGCCCACCCAATCCAGGCCCCGCCCACCGCGCACGCCCCGCCCCCACGACCCAGGACCCCGCCCAGCGCACACGCTCGAGGCCCGGCCCGGAGCCACGCCCACAAGGCCCAGGACCCCGCCCAGCATGCTCGTCCCAACTTCCGGTCCCGAGTCACTCCCACAGGACCCAGGACACCGCCCAGTGCACGCTCCGGCGCCCGGCCCCGAACCACACCCACATTTCCCAAGACCCCGCCCAGCGCGCGATCCACCGCTCCGACCCACGCCCACAGGTCCCAGGACCCGGCCCACCGCACGCTCCACCGCCCCGACCCGAGCCACGCCCACAGGTTCCAGGACCTCGCCCAGCGCGCATGCCCCGCCGCAAGACCCCGCCCACGACCGCCGCATTTTGGGCCACAGGTGAGTAGCTCTGTGCCGTAGACCTCGCGGCTCTCGGCAGTCCTCGCCCGAACTGGTGGTTATGCAGGCTGCGAGTTACCGTGAGTACAGCTGGGATGCTGACAGGGAAGGAGCTGACGGAGAACGCGGACGGCATGGTGCAGGGAAGCGTGCCCTCACAGCAACCGCTGAACCCTGCCTGGCCAGAATCCACGGAGGAGGGCGCCAAGTCTCCTCTCGTGAGATCTGAGATCTTGTCACGAGATCTGCGTTTCCTTCCTCTCGCGATAATTTTATGGCATTTACTAGGTCCAGATATCGCGGTCTTTCCGGGTGTTCCCTGTAATATGGAGACTTATCACCGTGGTGTAGGGATTGTGGTCGCTTCGCCGGCAGAGGAGCAGGCGGAGGCGGGTGGGACTTGCGAGGATTGTTTCAGAGGATCAGGGCGCTGTGCGGCCACTCCAGCCTCCCTCCCACCCGGGACTTCCTAGAAGGGTCAGAGCATCATGGGGACGGTGTCCACTTTCCGGACCGTGTAGGACCTGGGGACGGTGCCTGCTCTTGGGACCTTCAAGGCAGTGCACTCTCGGTCTGGGTCAGCTTAAGGCTGTCTGTCTTCGCTTCGGAGATTTACCAGGTGGTGTCACGCTTCACTTCCTTGTTCAGAAACAGAAAAATATAAGAGGTTCTTATTTATAAGGTTAATTTTCTTACAGCTAATTTCTTTTTAACTGTTGATGTACGATCATGCTTTTTTCCCAGTTTTTAAAAAATATACCTGAACTTACAGGTTTTCAAATTAAACGTTCTATTATTTTAACATCACGAATTATTAAGTGTGTATACTTTCATTGCATATGTTAGCTTTTGAGCTAGTTTGGTATTTCTTTTAAAAAGTTCTAGCGGTGGACTTTTTTTTTTTTTTTTAATAGCTTTAACCTCTCCCAGGTCTTTCTTAGAATCTTTCCACAGTGTGGTCATTTCTGTTTATGCTACTTAACATGCATTCTCTCATTTCAGTGTAGAAGGTCATGGTTTCTTCTTATGAGAAAACATTGTTTTCATTGATACTTTTCTCCATTTTTCCTATATTCACCTCGAGGAACCTCCATTAGGTATATAATGCATCTTCCTCTCTCTCGTGTTTCTCAATCTTCCTTTCAAAACATCGTGTTTAGGAAATCTTGGACTTGGCCTTCCTGTTTTTTTTTTTTTTTTTTTTTTTTTTGAGACGGAGTCTCCCTCTGTGGCCCAGGCAGGAGTGCAGTGGCGTGATCTCGGATCACTGCAACCTCCGCTTCTGGGTTCAAGCTGTTCTCCTGCCTGAGCCTCCCTAGTACGTGGGACTACAGGTGTCTGCCACCTCGCCCAGCGAATTTTTTTTTTTTTTTTAAGTAGAGACAGGGTTTCACCATGTTGGCCAGGCTGGTCTCTGTGGGGTCAGCCCTGCTAGCGTCGTGGGGTGTCCCCTATCGCTGTGCTGAGGTGCAGGATCCGAGGAATAAAGAGACAAGACACTGAAGGACTGGAAAAGACAGCTAGGCTGGCGGGAGGGGGTGGGAAGTCATGCCACCTATGAGCGGAGACAGGCGAGGGCCCCCAAGAGTGTCTGTATTTATTGGGTATAGGTTAAGGGGCAGGGTAGTGAGTGAGGACATCTTAAGAACAGTGATAGGGTCAAGACAGTCACGTGTGCAATAAGCAAAGGGTCCTCACCTATTAGGTCACTGAGGCAAGGAGGTGGGCCGTGCGCAGCAAGGGGTCCACCCCCATTAGGTCACCTAGGCAAGGAGGTTGGCCGTGCATAGTGAAGAGGGTGCAGTGTGCAATATCTCTTATCTAGGGGCAGGCTACTTTTAAGGAATTCTATAGAAGGATGCTTTTGAGTCAGCACAGTAGCCGAAGAGCTGACAGGGTATACAGCCACCTGCTGGCAGCTTCCAGTGATTTCTATAGGAGGATGCTTTGAGTTAGTACCTAGCAACAGAGCTGACAAGGTGTACAGCCACTTAGCTGCGGTTATACTAGAGGGATTTTAAGCCCTCAGACACCTATGGGCTTGCTAACTTGAGGCCAGCTTTCCACAAGAACTGGATGCAAGGTCCTGCAACTCCTTTTCAGGAGGAGTGACTCTTGCTCCAAGCTTGCCATACAGCGAATATCTTTACAATACAGAACGCTGCCGCCTGGGCCGGCCTGCCGTGTAGCACGTGCCTTTTCAGGCAGGGTCACTACCATCTGGGCCATAGATTCTTGTCCTGGTATAACTGTTTCTCCCTTAAATTGTGCTCTGCACCATATCTGTCCTAGACATTCCTCTGACTACTACTGTGTATCTCCCTGACGATATTTTGTTACCTTTCAGGCATCACTCTATTTACTTACTTTCCTTGGGTTAGTTTCTCTGTCAGTCCTGTCCCGTGCCTGCCATTCTTTTCCGGTGTCTGTTTTCTTGTAATTTGGGTCATTTTGGGTGGCACTCTTCTTGTTAGTATTAACCACAGCCTGTCTGCAGTCACTGGGATTTTTTTCTCTTCATCCTCCCCTCAGCTGTCCCCTCGCATATCTTTGACATGTGCGCCCTGGCACCCATGTTTCCAGAATTGTAAAAACTCTGCCCCTCAACAGCCCCACTGTCAGTCCCAGGACATTCATCTTCCACATTTCTCCCACCCTGGTGTTGTGAACAACGCTAGGCTTCCTGACATTTAGACGTGAAGCTCATGAAATGTCGTCAGTCTGAGCTGTGCTTTAATATGAAACATACACCATCTTTCAAAGACTTTGTACCAAAATGCAAAATATGTTGTCAACAATTGTATTATTTTACCTACATGTTGAAATTGTATTTTGGAAATACTGGACCAAATAAAATATGTCAATAAAATTAATCTCTTTCTTTTTACTATTTTAATGTGGCCACAAAACGTGGCTTGCTCTCTATGTCTGTTGGTGTGTGAATACTGATGTGGACTCTGTCCCATTTGCCTGGAATTTTGTGCTGTCAGCACGGACTGGATGAAGCTGTGATCAGAATGAAGTATCGATTTTGTTTATTTTTTATTGATTATTATTTTCTTTTTGAGACGGAGTTCTGCTCTTGTTGCCGAAGTTGGATCATGCAATGGCATGATCTCAGCTCACTGCAACCTCCGCCTCCTGGGTTCAAGTGATTCTCCTTGCCTCAGCTGCTTGAATAGCTGGGGTCACAGGCATACACCACCACACCCAGTTAGTTTTGTATTTTTAGTAGACACGGTGTTGAACCCTATTGGCCAATCTGGTCTTGAACTCCTGACCTCAGGTGATGTGCCTGCCTCAGCCTCCCAAAGTGCTGGGATAACAGGCGTGAGCCATCACGTCTGGCCCAATTTTGTTTATTTCTAAAATGGCTTCACAAGTTGATTCACTGTATCTTTAATCCACATACAGTTGGTTTTCAAGAGCTTTATTAATGGACAAAATATGTTTGTGAGCTGTAATGTATTCTATAAATTAAAACTAGTACTTGGTACCTTTCTTGCTTTTCATGTTGCTTGGGACCCAGCAGGCAGCAGATTGTTTAGATAGAGAGACACAGGAGAGAGTTGCTGTGGGAGCAATGAGGAGATGGGAGAAAAAGAGATTCTGGAGACCAGGTCTGTGTCCTGTGATCCAGAGGCGGCCTGGGAGTGGCATCTGTCTAGGAAGAGCCCCCTGTTCAGGAAGCTCTGAGGAGTGCAAATATCCCAGAGGCACCCTCGCAGCAGCTCCCTGGAGACCCCAGCGTCCACCTCTCCACCATGTCCTGTCAGTGGCTCTTCCATCTTCATGCCTGCTCCTGAGCAGCGCCTTCAGAGTCAGGGTCACAGGATCTCTGCCTGGGGGTCCTTCCAGCACTAAATGGAGGAGCAGGTGGTGCCCCCAACGTTCTGCTTCACATTGTGATGCCCCTCCCATGGCCTTCAGGGTCAAGCTGACATGCACCATGGTGGCCCAGGGTCTGTGTGAGCTCCACCCACCTGCACACCAGGTGTGGCACCTGCCCCTGTCCTGCGAACTGGCTGTGTGACCACATGTGTCTACTGGTGCAGTTGGGAGGAAAGCCAGCACCCAGGTGGGGACACAACACCCTCCTGAAGGAGGCACGGTTCTATTCCCAGTGTTGATAGCGTATCAGGAAGTATCCAGGCCATCAGCTGGGCCCTCGGGCCCTCAGTCTCTACCCTGAGTGAGTCAGGCCCGGCTTTCCCCAGGAAGAGGAGCCCAGAGCACCGGAGGCTTCACCAGCTCTGCCTGGGGGCTAAATCCAGCACCACGCAGAGACCCTGCAGGCAGGGTCACTCTTGTCCTCCCCAGTGAGGTTGCAGGATCAGGGGCCCGCCCCAGGTGCAAAGGGCCATGCCACCCATGCCTGTACAGACGTCCTCCTGGAACCGGGGCTGGGTGCGTGCCGCCAAATCGAGTTCACCAAGGCTTGCGTTTTCCACGTTGTGGCAGTCAATGTTTCATGGTCTACATTTTGGTGGTGATAGGGTCCTTGTTCCAGGGTCACTAATTTGGTCCTTTTACTGCGATAGCAAGTGCTTGGGGGGTTGGTGGTTCAAGACCAGAGGACATAGCAAGTGGTCAGGAATGTCTGCTCTGGTGTTGCAAGAAGCCACAGCCAGGCCAACGTGGGCAGGACCCCCTAGGCCTGACCTCCACAGCCCCATGCCAGCCGCAGTGCCAGGTGCAGCCCCTGGGGCTGGTGACAGTTCAGACAGAGCCAGTAAGCCCAGGAGGGTTGGATGCTGCAGGACAGCAGGTGCATCTCAGGAAAGGTTTAAACACTGTACACACCCAAATAATGGTGTGCGCCTGGAGGTTTCATTCCTAAAGACATCATGGTCAATAACATAGGTCCCTGGGATCCCTGAGAGCTGGACTCTGGGTGTCTTCAGTATCTGTGTCTTGGGCGTGAATCAGACCACAGAAGTGCCCTGATCTCCACCACTGTGTTATCCATTTATCCCCATCGAACTTGCCAGATGCTGACCTCACGGGCTGGGTCGAGGACCCTGGGCAGCTTCTGTGGGGGTTCCTCGTTCCTCCCTTTGTGTTTCTGGGCTGCACCAGTTTGACCTTGATGTGAAATCTGGTTCCTCTGTCCGTTTGTTTGTACAATGCAGTTTACAATAAAGCTTTTGACAGCAATACTTAATTTGCCATTTCCGAATCTCTCATTCCTTTCTGAACATTTTCAGGTGGCATCATTTCCTTTCAAACTGAAGAATTGCATTTAGCATCCCATGCAGTTCAGATCTGTCGGGGATGAATCGCCTTTATCTGAAAAATGCTTATTTTGTCTTCATTTTAAAGAATACTTTTGCTGTGAATTGTTGTTAATACTGTTTTTTCTTTTCTTTCAGCACATGAGAGACGTTCCACGGCCGTCTGTCATGCCATAGTTTCTGGTAGAAGAGCAGTGGTGTTTCTAATCCTCATTCCTCCATAGATACCATGTTATTTTTCTGTTTTCAGAATATTCTCTTTATCTTGGTTTCAGCAGTTTGACCACGATGTTCCTAGAATTAGCATAGCAGGACGCTTCGGCTCTGAGCACGGCACAGTGATTGTTGTGAATCTGAGTGTGTCTGTTCATTAGAGCGCCGGCCACACTTCCCTGTTTCTTCAAATGACTTGTGGATCATTTAGCATGACCTGCTGGGTATTACAAATGTCATGCTGTGGAGAGTCTGGGCACTGTTATTTCTTCCAGAGTGTGTGTGTGTGTGTGTGTGTGTGTGTGTGTGTGTAAGATCAGGCCATTAAGTTGGTTTGACAGACTGCAAACTATGCCCGTTGAACAGCAGCTGAATCCTCAGTTTGATTCTTTTATCCTTCTTGTGTTTCATGAAGTGTGCCTCACACACTCAAGGTTCCATTGTCAGCTAGAGTCCTGGACAGAGGTTATACACAGAATTTGGGGTTCTCAGTCTCTGAGTCTCTCCTTCCTTCATCATTTTTTAGCAGGTGTGTTCCCAATTTCTTCAGGAGAGAAAGACCAAGGGCTTTCTATGGTGGTTTGGCAATTCCGCATTGCAGGGCCTCAGACTCATTCTAAGCTAAAAATCATCAGAAACCCTCTTTCCGTTTGTTTCTGCCATGCATCATACTCCCCTCCCATAATCCATGCTTTTCATCCCCGTTCACTGCCTTTACGGAGTCACTTTTTATATTTGTTCATTGTCTACATATTTCCCTTGCAGGAGAGTGACATTAGACAGTCTCCCTTGACCACCTTGGGAAGTAGAAATCTAGAGGCGACACATTCCCGAAATGCTCCTACGCTGCCTGTGAGAGATGTTATTCTATTCACATTGCCATGAGGAAACTGAGGCTCAGAAGTAGCATCCTTTGCCTGAAAGGACACAGCTCGTGAGTGCTGGAGGCATGGTTTCATGTCTGACTTGGCCAATTCCAAAGCTCTTATGATGTTCACCAGCACTCAGATGCATTCTTCCCTGACCTCTCCCTTCCCAAGAAAAATGGTGTCCCTCCCTCTTCCTCTAATTAGAAAATTCTTTTGTATACTAGGAAATTATTAGGAAATAATCATTTTTTCCAAAAGTAATGCATTGTGGAGTCAATATCTGATGGTTTTGCCCAAATATGGCCTTTCAGCCTCTGAATTCATGCCTCCATAAATTCTAGCATGTTTCTTCATAGCATGTTTATTCTAATCTTCCTTGATGGGTGATACGGTTTGGCTGTCTATAGGGTCCAGCCCTATAGGGTTCTGTGAGCTCCTCCCTGCTGGTGGGGAGACAAGAAACTGTAGAAATAAAAGACACAGATACAGAGATAGAGAAAAGAGAGTTTGGGCTCGGGGGTCCACTGCCAACCAAAGCGTGGAGACCTGCAGTGGCCCTGAGTGCCTGGACGCTCTTGACTTTTATTGAGTACAAAGCAGGGGCCAGGGAAGGTCGGGTGAGGTAATGGTGGTCAGTGACAGGGTCAGGTAAATCACATGTCTTGAAGATAGAGGGCCCAAGAGTTTCAAGTAGCCGAGATGAGGAGAAAAGCTAATGTGTCAGTGCTCTTCATGTATTTATCAGAAATATCAAGGACATTGATTCTTACCTTCTGAGAAAAAGAGAAACAGTGCAGAAGCAGGGTGTGAGAGTGGACATGGAACGTGACCACTGAAGCACAGCATCACATAGAGATAGTTAAGCCCCCAGATATCTGCAGGGGAGGAGTGGAATTTTCTCCTAACTTCCCCAGGAAGGAGATGGCTCGGTCATTTTGGACACCTTGTCCCCTAGCTGGCTAAATAGCAGGTGCTTTCACAGTACTGGCGCTGCGCAGAGCCGAAGTGCCCTCCAGTAGCCCTTATGCGGGTGTGACAGAGGGCTTAGCATCTTGCCTTAGGGTCACTTTGTTCATGATGTCACTTCAGTTCCATGCTTCATAACCAGATAGTCATTAGTAAGATTAAAGGTCATATTGAGTATATATCTTTATGATTAGAGGTAACTATAAGATTATATATGATTATATAAAGGAATAGCTATGTGCCTACATTTCTGATTCCTTTCTAAATCAGTATGTATATGGGAGCAGGCTGAGGCGTCAGACCCTTGCCACAGCACTTGCGGGTTTCCCTCCTACAGCTGTCTCCCCACCCAAATCTCGTCTTGAACTGTGGCTCCCATAATCCCCACGTGTCATGGGAGGGACCCAGTGGGAGGTAATTTAATCATGGGGGCAGTTACCCTCATGCTGTTCTCCTGATAGTGAGTGAGTTCTCACAAGATCTGATGGTTTTATAAGGGGCTTTTCCCCTTTGCTGGGTACTTCTTGCTGCTGCCATGTGAAGGACATGTTTGCTTCCCCTTCTGCCATGATTGTAAGTTTCTTGTGGCCTCCCCAGTCCTGAGG